TAACTTTAAACTCACCTTCCTATCATGATGAGAGCAGGGTACCAATATCTCTTCCAAGAAACTAAAAGATTTTATGAGAGCTTTAAAAAAAATGTGCAAAATTAAAATGAAGGAGAAAATTCCTTTTAGACCATTTAGATAAGTTAGATGTCATTATACTTGAAATCAGAGGTAAAATATATACTCAATTAAATTTAGCTCTGAACTTACTGGTCATAAAGACAGAAATGGAAATGATCTTACATAATTTCCACTGATTATTAGTTCTACAGATTTTCTTTTCTCACAATCCTTCTTTGAGTTACTCCATAAACTATAAAGAATAATCCATACTATATGACATTCTGTTATTACTTAAAAATTGGTACCAAAATCTATTGTATTCTGATTATCTTTCCTGTATTTGTACAAAATAGTATCAGCATACACTGAGAGTTTACATGGTAAGATGTAAGACTCCTCCCGAGTATTTTTTTTATTTCATCCCTGATTTCTTCTGCTATCCATTGGTCATGCAATAGTATATTATTTATTTCCAGATGTTAGGGTAGCTTCTATTTTTTATTTTATCATTGATTTCAGATTTCATTCCATTATGTTCTAATAGAATGCAAGGTATTATCCCTATTTTTTTGTATTTTCCAAGAGTTGCTTTGTGGTATAAGATAAGGTCTATTTTAAAGAAGGATCCATGTGTTGCTGAGAAAAGAGTATATTCAATCATTGATGGAAGAAATACTTTATATATGTCTGTTAAATCTAAATCATTGATTGTATTATTTAGTTCTATAATTTCTTTGTTCAGTTTTTGTTTGGAGGATCTATACAGTGGTGAAAGAGGTTTGTTAAAGTCACCCAGTATTATTGTGCTGTGGTCTATTTGATTCTTGAAATTCAGAAAGCTTTTTTTATATACGTAGAAGCTCCATTGTTTGGGGTATAAATAGTTACGATTGTTATGTCTCATTGATTCCTTTAAGCAGTATGAAATATCCATCTTTGTCCCCTCTGATTAACTTTAGCTTCAAGTCCACTTTACTGATATGAGGACAGAAACCCCTGCTTGTTTATGCAACCCATGTGAATGATATGCTTTTTCCCATCCTTTCACCTTCGGTCTGTAGATGTCTTTGCCTATGAGGTGACACTTTGGAGACAGCATATTGTTGGGTATTGTTTTATAATCCAATCTTCCAGTCTATGTAATTTGATTGATGAGTTTATATTCGAGGTTATTATTGAGATATGATTTGTATTCCCAGTTATCTTGGTTTAATTTGTATTAGTTTCTCCTTAGACTGATTATTCTTTTAGTATATAGTTCCTCTCTTTGCTGGTTTTCACTTTTCATTTCATCTCCATGGAATTTTTGCTGAAAATGTTCTATAGTACAGGCTTTCTAGTTGTGAATTCTTTTGTTTATTATGAAAGGCTTTTAGATCATCTTCAAATCAGACGCTTAATTTTGCTGGGTATAGCGTTCTTGGTTGGCATTCATTTTCCTTCACAGCGTGGAATATATTATTCCAAGACTTCCTAGCTTTGAAGATCTGGTTTGAGAAATCAGCTGAGATCCGAATTGGTTTTCCCCTAAATGTTATCTGAGATTTTTCTCTGGCAGCCTTTAAAATTCTATCTTTGGGCTCAGGTTGTAGCTCAGTGGCTGAGCGCTTGCCTCAAATGCATGAGGCACTGGGTTTAATCCTCAGCACCACATACAAAAATAAATAAGTAAATAAAACAAAGATAAAATAAAATCCTACCTTCATTTGGTATGTTAGGCATTTTCATAATAATGTGCCTTGGTGTGAGTATATTGTCATTTTGTACATTCAGAGTCCTATAAGCCTCCTATATTGGATTTTCCATTACATTCTTTAAGTTTGGGAAGTTTTCTATTATCATTTCATTAAAAAGATTATGCATTCCTTTGGTATGTATTGCCATGCCTTCATCTATCCTGATAAATTTTAAACATAGTCTTTTCATGTTATCCTATATTTCTTGGAAGTTCTGTTCATGTTCTCTTAACATCTTCTCTCCATGGTCAACTTTATTTTCAGGATTATATATTTTGTCTTCATTCCTGAAGTTCTGTCTTCCAAGTGATTTAGTCTGTAGATAATGCTTTCCATTGAATTTTTAATTTGGTTTATTAATTCCTTCACTTCAAGGATTTCTGCCTGATTTCTTTTCAAAATCTCTATCTCTTTATTGAAGTGATCTTTCACCTCCTGAATTTTGTCTCTGATTTCCTTCCTTATATCATCCTTTACCTCATGGGTCAGTTTAACTATGTACCTTCTCTGACATTTCTTCTACCGTGGTGCCAGTGGATTCTATCATTGGCGCATCTTGGTTTGTTTGGGATAATTTGTTCCCTTGTTTTTTAATGCTATTTGTGTATCTACCTATTTAGCAGTGTGGATCTGAGGCAGTACAGTTTCTAACCTGTAGACTTATAGTGTCCCTGAAATTTTCCAGTACCTCACCTTTAAGGGGGAGACAAATAATAACAGCAATCAATGCAAACAATATACAGCCTTACACCAAATAGCTCCTACTATAACATCTACAGTTTTGTTGCAATAAACAGAAATGATGTGTTCAGTTATTGTCTATAATAAAAACTGTAAGTTTGCAAAAGGGTTTACAATTTCAAACGGTGGACAAAGAGAAACAGGAGTAGTGTAGAATATGATGTTTATGAGAAATGAGGAGAGACAATAGAAGTAAAAAAATTATAGGAAGAGTGAAAGAGGGAATAATAGAGGTCGGCTGTTAGTAGGAGAAAAGAGAAAAAATCAAAGGAAAAAGAAAAATAAGAGAAAAAACATATATATAATAAAAATTTTTGAAAATAAAAACAATTAAAAATACAAAGATAAAAGTATAAATGCAAGAATACAAAGTGAAACTGCAATATACTATTCAGACATCCTAGTCCTCAATAAACTGATTCATGGAAAATAATTGGTTTCAAAAATGGTAGAAATGTGGGAGGAAAAAATAAAAAGAGAAAAAAGTCTCAATGAAAAATTGAACAATTGTTTCTGTTGGAGTTCAAAAGTTTCTCAGCTTCCCTTCTCAGCAGCTAGGTAGGACTGTCTAGAGTCTGATGCTTGCTCCACCCTCAGGGTGGATGGGATAGCTAGGGTGAGATGGTTAATCCTGGAGGCAGAACTCCTCGAGTTAGGGTATAAGCTCAGAACTCGAGTTAGGGGTGTAAGCTCATACAGCTTCTAAGGTATGCTCTTCACCAAATGACAATTGGTCTATAGATTTTAAGTCAGAGCACCTTCAGGACCTAGTAATTGCCAGTCCACGCTGGAAGACTGCATTCCAGGAATTTCCTTTGGATTCCACTCATGTGGTATAGGAGCCTGTTCTTAGTCCCCTACATTGCCTGAGGGCCCCCAATTTCTGGTCTCTGATTCAGTCTCCAAACTCAATCTCTCCAGCCCCTGTCCTTTTGAATTCCTGATCAGGTGCTTCTCTCCCAACTGGTCCTGAGGTCTGGGAGCAAGGACCTGCATGCCAGTCACAAAGATAAGTGCTGGACTGGATGAGTCTGGCAGCTATGTGATGCATGGGGTGAGTTGAGGCCCTGCCATGTTGGGGCCCTGCTGTTTTGTGTCGGGTGGATCAAAGACAGGCACTGAGACCCAACAGTCAGCAGTGAAGCTACAAGGAATGGGCTGGATTGGGAGCCAGGGAGGGGACTGGGAGACTGGAGACTAGGGACTGGGAAGCTGGGGGGGCCAGGTTGGGTGCCAGATTGATGCCAGATTAATTCCAGACCTGGTGGGACCAGGAGACTGTTGGATGCTGGACTGAGTAGGGAGTTAAGGGACCAGGCTTGTGCCAGGACAAGCAAGTTCTGGCCCAAGTAGGCCCCTAGGAACCTGGTGGGTGTCAGACCAGCTGGCCGGGCAGGCTGAGAGCAAAATACCCTCACACCCTCTTCCAACCTTCCAATTTTGATCCACTATAGTCAGTCCTGTCAGTCCTTGCAAGCCTCAGACTCAAGGAGCTAAGGAGAGCCCAGCTTTATCCTGCCTCTTTAACCTGTGTTCCCCTGGGCGAAATACTCCCAGTGTTTGACTTTCCACAGGATGGCAGGGATCAGACAGACCCATACCAACCTAGTTACAAATTCACGGATCTGGGTTTCTGGTTTCCAAAGGCTCTGCCACACTGCACTCCCCAGTTAATCACTATTAACATTTAAGTATGCTTCCTTTTTGTCTTGTTTTTTTTTTTTTCCTCCAGATACTGGGTAAATGTGAGTGTGTTCCACATAATTGTGAGCCAGATGTTTTCACTAAACACTATAAATAAATGCACTTTCCATCTTACCAAAAGCTTTTTTAAAAAACAATTACAATACTATTAAATGGGATGATTCATCATGTTTTATATAATTATTCCCCTAGGGACATTTTCACAAAAAACCTAGCTCATCCAAATTCATCTCTAATTAAACAGGTACAAGGGTGTTTTACAGCAGGAAGCCTCCATGTTCAATTTCAACTCCAGTTATTTTCCACTGTCAACATCACTACATTTCTTCAGAGCCCTTGTTCATACAGTTTGATGGGTGCCACAGAGATGCACTACATTAGTCTTGTTCGTTTCAACTTTTGATGAATGTGTTTTAGATGATATGTTGTTGGTTATCTTTGTTTTGTTTTTGGTGCTGGGGAGCTGGGGATCAAACCCAGGGCCTTATGCATACTAGGCAAGCATTCTACCACTAAGCTTTACCCCCGGCCCATGAGTGTGCTTTAGAGACAGACACACAGCGATAGAAGAGGAGAGGTAGGGCTCTAAGTAACTAGAGAGGACATAAGGGTGGCACAACAATAACAAACATCTGAAACACTGCCCAGGGCATAAAAATTACACTCACATAAAGATTTTAATTTTTCTTTCTCTCTATTAAAAAAATTATCACCTTGATGCCTTTGACAACAACTTAAAATCAAACTGTTTCTTACCAGTGCCAATACATTTAGAAATTCTCTTGTGTCAAAATGTAGCAAAGTCCGAACATAAGGATAGATTTCTTCCTCAGGGGATGCTTCTGCTGAATGTAGGCGAATCAGAAATTCGAAAACCTATGAGGAGAAAAGCAAATTGTTGATCATTTTCTCTTCTTATGAAGTATCTTGTTGAAGCAATGATGCCCATCTGGATAAAATAAAGGCAAACTAAATTCAGTTCAAATCACCACTGTGTAAAAAGTTCTCTCTTAAATCCTCTCTCAGCTAAAACCGTCCACTTCAGTGAAAGTGAGTAGGCTCTCTCCTATATAGGCAGTAGTTCCTGAGCCAAATGTAATCCTCATCTGCAATATCTTCAGTGCTTCTCCGTAAGAAGTATAAACAACTAAAAATGCAAAGAAAACAGTACCAACCTGGTTTTTAACCAAGGGAACAAGATCTTCAGGGATATCACCAAGGGGATAGGCTCGACCTGCCAGACAACAACTAGAAGAAAAGAATGGGAACAGATCTGATCACTTGTAAAAGTGCAACTTTCAAGTGAGTAATACACTATTCCTCAAACCTGAGATACTAGTTTGATCTTGAAGTAGACTCAGTTTTTGTCAATTAGGTCAAGTTCAAAATCAGATCACTGTTAATTTACTGTAGACTTATATATTTAAAGATAATGTATGTATACTTCAAAAAACTAGAAGAAAGAATTTTGAACCATTTTTTATCACAAAGGATGTCTGTGGAGAGAGGTTTACCCTGATTTAAATATTATGCCATCTATACATTTGTTAAGACATCACATGGCACCCCTAAATATGTATAAATTTTATGTTTTATGTACTCAATTAAAAAAAACCTAAAATTTAAAAAAAAGATGACATCCAGTTCAGAAAATATAGGATATGAAAATGATGGTGAAGTACCATATCCTGTGACAGAGTGGTGGCTTCCATTTCCTGCACTAAAGGGGCAGAAAGGAATGAGAACACACTACCCTTACGCCTCATACTTAGTATTTAGAAAACTGAATGGCAACATTAAACTATGAGTTACCTGTTAAAAGCCCCACTCTTAGAGACATTTAAACCACTGATTTTAAGAATGGTGATTTTAAAAATGGGGCATGAACTAGCATAATAAATATCTGGAAAATGTCTGCAATAGGACAAGCCTTTAAGGAGAGTTAGAACCTGAGGCAAAATTCACTCTATAGTTTTTTGTTGTTGTTGCTGTTGTTGTTATTTTGTTGTTTGTCTTATTTTGCAGTGGTGGTGCCTCCCCCCAGGGCCTTATGCATGCTAGGCCAGCACTCTACCACTGAGCTATACCCCAAAATCCCCTTGCAGATTCACCTCCAAATAAGACCTTCTTTATGATTAATGACCTACCTTGTGGACTGAATTATGATAAATTTCTTCTGAATATGTTTTCTTTTTGGTTTGGGGAGGAGCAACTTTAAAAATCTTTGAATCAGTCATCAATTTTCAATATTAGCCTAGAGACAAGTGGATACCAGCATACTCTAAAGAGTTTAAAGTACAAATGATAAAGTACCAATGATAAAGTACACAATGTTCTTTCTCACTAAAGAGTCAATGCAACAATGTATAATGGGTCTCAAAGTTAACCCTCATGCTAAACAAGAACTAAAATGAGACTCTGACAGGTTCTGCCACCTTCCTATCTTCCTGCCAACCAGTTATCTAGCTAAAAGTTCTCTTTGGAGTCAATTCCGAGCCAATATAGTCTATTGGAATCAATTCTGCTCCAAGAGTAAGAGACAAAAATTCTAGTTTTAGCTCTATCACTTTTTCATGATTTAAACAAATCTCTTGCCCTTACATATAAACTAGAAGTACTATATATCATACAGAATTTCTGGTAGTAAAAATAAAATATCCTATATCAGGGTTTCTCAACCATAGTTCTATTGATATTTTGGGCTAGGTAATTTTTGTTGCAGGGATTACACTATGCATTGTGGGATGTTTGACATCCTGGCCTCTGCCCACTAGATACCAGTAATATCCTGGATGGATATAACTAAACATGTCTTTAAAGATTGCCAAACATGAGAACCACCACTCTGCATAAAAGAACTTAGAAAAATGAACAGTACTATATGGATAAGACATAGAATCTCTTAAATATATAGGAAAGTACAGAAGAAACATGGTCACAGATGAATAAATAAAAATCCCTTACCTAATATATACAAGAAGCTTGTTGCCCATAACAACTTGCTCATCTAAAATAGAAAAATATCTTTAGCAATTCTTTCTCAAAAACCTTGTCAGAAATACAATCTTCATGTGGAAACAAAATGTAAAACTTGGCATTTAAGGTGAGATAAATATATTTATTTCCAAACAACAGAAAATTGAGATAAGACCACTTGAACTTAAAAAAAAAAAAATTCATTGGATTCTATTCATAGAAAAAATCCATGAGTTAGTCAAAGACACATGTGGAAGGAATAGACTTGAGGGTAGAAATCTATGTGCTGTTATCTTAAACCCTAGCTTAGGACCAGGGGAAGGTGTAAAGCAGGCAATGAGTTCAACTATAGATCAAGACCAATTAACTGACACTAAGGCATAACTATGTCTTCTCATTTGTTAACATGGACTTTTACCACTCCTAGTGCAGTAGGGTTGAGAAGGCCATTGTTTCTAAATGTTTAAAGTAACTTAGCTCAAATAAATGATCCTTAGAGCCCTTTCTATTAACATGTCAAAAAATGTAAAATTCTGTCATCTGATTATATAAACCAATATGTAAACAAAAAGGTATGTGAAAGATAATTAGGCCAATTTTTAGTCCAAAAGGTCAAAGGCAACATAGAATGAAGTAAGGGTGAAGTAATCAGGAATTTGTGTGGTATGCAGATTATGGGAATCTGTGGTTGGTAATAAAGATAAGGTAAAGTTTCTAATTTAGATATGTGAATATGAGACATAATGCCAGCAAACATGTTTTATCCTTTTTAAATACTCTAAATATGTGATGTAATTCATACAAATTTGAGTTGCTAAAAATTGTATGAATAATTGAATTTTGCTTCAATTTCAAATGTTATTTGATTCAACTCAACTAGTAATATACGGTAGCAATTGCCTTACGAATATACCATATTCATGTTTATTGACTCATTAGGTAAACACTTTAATTGTTAGAAATCTCAGGTAGAATGTGTCTAGCTCATAATATTCTTAGAGTTAAATTTACTTGTTTAACATGTGTATCACCATTATTCCACTCTTATGAATTTATTAGGAGCAGGTTATCTGTGTTATCTCTATTTCTAGCACCCAGTACAACGTCTGGCACTCAGGAGGTGATTAGTAAATGCACAGTGAACTGAACTGATAAAGTTCTTAATTTTGTACAACTGAACCCTCCCCAATATCCTCTTTTATAAAAACTCAACAGTTCCATTTGGATGTTTCAATACTATACTACACTTTCATTTCTGGTGGACATTTATGTGAAAGTTAATTTTCAAGTCTGTTTCAAAAAGATTAGGTTCAGGGCCACTGATAGGCAGAAGAAGTTAAGACTATACAAAATGACTCCCCTTGCCTCACCCTCAAAAAAATGAAACAAAAAATCCCGTAAAACCTGGATATAATAAAATAAACTACCCAAAGTTATTAAACAGTGAATAGAAGCATAAAATCTGGCAGGGGGTTCAGATTCACTTGGGGAAAAGACAGGCAGCCATACTTTTATCTCCTTTGTGTCCTTTCCCTGTGTTTCTGTGTAATGTGACTCGAATACATGAGACAGACAGCACATGGAAAAACCCCTGATCTTTCTGGCCTAGGGGAAAAGTGAAACCAGGAAATCAGGAATGGGCTGGGGTTGTAGCTCAGTGGTAGAGCACTTGCCTAGCATGTGGGAGACACTGGATTCAATTCTCAGCACCATATATAAACAAATTAAATAAAGGTCCATTGACAACTAGAAAAAATATGTTTTTAAAAAAGTCTTAAAAAAAAAAAAAGAAAGAAAGAAAGAAACCAGGAATGGAAAAGACACAAAGGAGGGAAAGAGGAGGGAAGGAAAGGTTGCACATAGACATGAGTAGTAGGAACATGAAGTTAAAGGGATAATTCTACAAACTGGGTGTGCTAGCCCTTCTCATGTTTTCTTTTAAAAGCAATTTATCCAGGGCCATTCTGGTCCTGCTCTGGCTTAAGTCAACAGGATATGTTACATCGCTCCACAAGCGACCCATTATATGCAGGTCTATTCTCTAGGCTGAGGAACTTAAGATTCCTCCCTTCCAATAAGAAGGACACAAGTCACCCTGAAGAAGAAACTTTTGTGACCTTTACACCAACCAGAGTTCAAGACCCAGAAAAACAGGATAATTAGAAACAAAGCCCACTGACTATAAAAATCTGTAAAAACAAATTCAAATTAGAACCAGTCAGTACAGGCCAAAGTGACCTTCGGATCTTCAGCATGTCATTTTAATCTCATATATACTAGTAAAATCTCTTGCACCCACCATGGGTTTCTCTTGGGTGCCTATGAACAAAATCAAGTGCATTAAGAACTTCAAAATATGCTACCTACTGTTAGTCAAAGGTTGAAAGGTGGTACCTGGATAAAACTCTCTAGAAACTTCCCTGAGACCTCCTCTAAAACCAGGGAACAAAGGGGTACCACTGCTCTCTCCTCTTTGAAACAACTCACATTCTCCTTTGAGGGTGTCTTTCCCCTCTCTAATAAAATCTTGCTGTATTTCTACTATATTTTGTGTTATCCCTGAACAAATACAATTCTGAGATAAATAAAAGGTTAGAACTAATAGACAAGAAAGAAAAAAAAAGTAACTATAATTATCCTCAATGAAGTAAAATAGGATGTTTCAATGCATGAAAATTTCAACAGATAAATGAAGATAAATCCAGCAGAACCTATAAAAAATAACTAAATAGAAATTACAGATTCAAAAACACAATTGTTGAAAACAAAAATTCACTGAGTGGAATAAACAGCTAAATTGACATGAAAGAGGAAAGAGCAAGTGAACCTGGGGGTAGGGCAATAGAAATCATCTATGGTGGAGAAAAGAGGGTGGGAAAAAGCCCAAAACAAAAATTAGGATCTGGGGATACAGCTCAGTGGTAGGGCACTTACTTAGCATGTGTGAGGCTCTGGGTCTATCCCCAGCACCACAAACAAAATAAAAATCTAGCAGGACACACTCTGAAATGGTGGATTTCACTCCTCCAAAATGCTGTTCTTCCATGAAAGTAAATTCTTAAAATCAACTTTTTTAGAACTCTTGAAAAAGTAAAGAGTTGCTGTAATCTGAGGAATATTTATTCAAGAAAAATGCCTAAATCTCAGAAATAACTATGAGTGGGCTTTATAGTATCTAACTTTACCTACTACCGTCCTATTTTCCCCAGCTTCATTGTAGATTTAAAACCAATAACCTCACAACTTCCACAGCTGTGAAAACCAGCAACTGAGAAGCCACCTGAAGGGGAAAAATGGGGTTAGAACTCTCAACTGCCCTGTCTCAGAGAATTGGCTAGCTCTAATCTCAGGAAAATTACCTGAGAAAATTAGGGGAAAAAATAAAACAGTGGAGAATAACAGAATCCAGAATCTCCACATGCCTTTTCTTGTCCTGACTCAGAATTCATTCTGTGGTAACAGCACTATCCCTGACATTTCTGAAAACAATAAGTGCTCTCCAAAAAACATACAAGAATAAACAGAAGAAGGGTCTCCAGAGGTTTCTGAAAAGCTCTATGTGCAGGACTGTATAGGTACCCAGGGAAGACCAGAATCTATAAGCTGTGGCTGACTCTGAGGCTCTGCCTAAGTCAGAAGTGAAGGCTAAGGAGAAAATTGTAAATTGCCTGCCAAAGGACCAAAAATTCCAAAATAAAATTAAACAAGAATTGGGTCCCTGGTTTCCAGTCTGACCATGTGATCCTTCTTACATGTGCTTCTGTTACTGTAAGGAGATCTGACGTAAGGCCCTCACAAGAGCCCAGCAAAAGCTGATGCCATGCTCTCTAACCTCCAGAACTGAGGACTCCGAGAGAGTAATGAAAACCACCAGACCAAACATGGGTGAAAAAAACTCCTACATAAAACAGGTTGCACTGACTACTATCATGGCTCAGACTGACTCCTGCATTCCTGTAGAGAAAATAACACTGGGTACTGTGGAAGGGTGCTGCAGACAACATAAAGAATGGAGAACATTTATATAACTGATTGACACAGCAGAAATAATCAGAAAGGCAACATCTTAGTCCTTGTTCAACTTGGACAAGTTGGGAAGAAGGAAGAGAACCTAGGATGGAATTGCCATTGTTATGCTATACTTGTGCATTTTATTAGGGATATGAAATCATCAACCCTGTTCATCACCCATTATCCACCAGTTTGTTAACAAGAGAAAAGTTACATCAGGTGAGGAATTGACAAGTGAGATTTTTGGTCATTGAGGATGAAAGCAAACAGAAACAAGGCCTGATTTTTGTCACTTTTAAAAATCAATCAGCAGGGCTGGGGATGTGGCTCAAGCGGTAGCGCGCTCGTGGGGTGTGCGTGTGGCCCGGGTTCGATCCTCAGCAACACATACAAAGATGTTGTGTCCGCTGAAAACTAAAAAATAAATATTAAAATTCCCTCTCTCTCTCTAAAAAAAAAAAAAAAATCAATCAGCAAACTACAATGAAGAGTTATAGACTAAATGTGTAAACTAAAAGACATTCCTGGAGAAATTTTAAAGCAGCTCACAAATCAAAAGGTAGAAGTATGAAATACTTCAAATATGAAAAGGAAAAGGCTATTTTGCAAAGTTGTGGATGACAAACAATGCAAAAGACCTGCAAAACTGGATAGGCAAGTTTGAAATGGAAGAAATACATACTTCTCTTCTTGATAACAATGAAGATTACATTTTTAACAAAAAATGGAAAATTAAAACTATCAACTGCACAAAATATTTCTCTAGTAATAGACTGTGTGACATGTGAGCATACAATTATGACCATGCCGTATTTCTAATGAAAACAAAACAGTCTCTAATAAAGAAAGTCTTTTTCAGGTCCTGCCTTCCTGACTTTCTGAAGTATAGATGCTTTTAAATATTGACTTCTACTGTATAATCACAAAATTTCAAGGACAATAAGTTTCACATAAAATAGAAAACTTCTAAGTAAAGCCTAAAGTGGTAGAATACAATTAATGAGTTTTTGGAAGGTGTTCTAAATATTTAATTCACATTTTTGTTTCAGTTTATATATGTGGCAACTGGGTGAATCTGGAAGGAACGTCTACCTTTTCATTTGAACTAAAATTATGAAGACTTCTGTTTCCATTTTGCATCAGTTTCTTCTGCTCTGGGATACCTTGGATTGCAGGAACAATAAGTCTGATTAATAAACATCTTGTGATAAAACTAGCACCAGGAAACAGCAAATTTTTTCTGTTTGTTGGTAATTTTGGAGGAGGATAGGGTACTGGGGATTGAGCCCAGGGACACTTTACCACTGAGCTACATCTCTAGTTCTTTTCATTTTGTATTTTAAGACAGCATCTCACTAAGGTGCTAAGGGCCTTGCTAAGTTACTGAGTCTGGCCTCAAGCTTGCAATCTTCCTGTCTCAGATTCCTAAGTCACTGGAATTACAGGTGTGTACCACAGCAACAGCAACTTTCTTATGCACAAGGCCCTGCCCAACCAGTCCTGGGATAATGATCAATCAAACCACACAGTGTGATCAAGACTGCTTGACTATGCACATTTCTGGTCCACTTTTTCTATGTAATCTGGAAACTCATGTTAATACCACCAAAGACAGGATTGGAAATGCTATTCTCCTTAATCTTCCCAGTATAGCTATATTGATTCAAGTTCCTTTCCTACTTTTCATCATTACATTTTTCTTTGGAAAACACACACACACACACACACACACACACTTATTAGTTATAGACAGACACAATATCTCCTTTCTTTATTTATTTTGATGTGATGCTAAGGATCGAACCTAGTGCCCCATACATGCCAGGCAAGACTCTACCACTGAGCTCACTCAGCCCTCTCTTTACTCCAGCCCTCTCTTTGATTTTTAAAGCAAGTAGCCAGACCTGATTTGTTGGTACCTTCAAGAGATGGGTCTTAGGACTAGGACTATGGTAGAAATGCCACCAATTTATTCACCATGAACATAAGAAATGTTTTATAAGAAATAGAATTATCAAAGCTTTTGAAAACTAGAGCACAAAAGAAAGATTGTATAAAATTCCAGAAGTATCATAGTTTTTAAGCAGGTTATAGATTGTTGGATGAAACTGTCATTAATTCAAGTAAAAATTATTTTGTGTATACTTGCTATAAAAAAATAAGCAAGAACTGATAGAACTGAAATGAGAAACAGACAATTCAGCTGGGCACAGTGGTGAATGCCTATAATCCTAGCTATTTGGGAGGATGAGGCAGAGTAATTCCAAGTTCAAGGCCAGTGTGGGCAATTTATCAAGACTGTGTCTCAAAAGAAAGAAAAGGACTGGGGATATAGTTTAGTGGTAGAGCACTTGCCTAGCATGTGCAAGGCCCTAGGTTCAATTCCCTGCAACAGGGAATTGAACACACACACAAGGAACAGACAATTGAACAACTGAGGACTTTAATACCATACCTTCAATAATGGATAAAAGAAGTAGTGGAAGATAAATAGGAAATAGAAGACTTGAACAAACTATAAGCCTGAAGCCACTCAGTAGATTAACTTGCTCCTACTGCTAACCAGTCTGATAATTGAAGCCAGTGAAGAGGAAAACTTGTTTCTAGCACTAGCAAGTCATTTTTCATAGTTTGTTTTGCCTCACTCTCCTATGTCTCACTCCTCAAATAATTAACCAATAAAGTCAGCTTTACCTGACAAGAAAAATAAAGGGAAAAAAAATCAAAGAATAACTCCAGTCACATGACCTACTAATCAGTTCTTTCTTTAGATTTTTTTTTAGGAACCGGGAATGCCTGGATACCTGGTAACCCATGAACAACAGCAAAGCACATCAAGGGAACTGACTACTCCAAGAATTAATGACCATTCCAGTGCCCACCGGGCTATAACTAAATTTAGACTATCCAGACTTATCCACATAAGCTTTTATGTTAGTGATCTCTGACTAGACAGAATTTGGGTGACAGCTCTCCATTTTCTATCAGCTGGCTTATTGCCCATAAAGTTCTTTCTTCTCCTGTCACTCAGTCCCTCAAATTATTGGCTTCATCAAGTAGCAGTGGAACTGGACTTCTGATGGTTCCAAGCCTCCCAGACAGCTACAGAATGTTCCACTAAACAACAAAACACATTCAATACATTATTCTCAACTGCACATGAAATATTCTCCAGAAAAGACTACCTGTGAAAGCAAAAAAATAAAAAAAGAAGTCACAGAAAGTATATCCTCTGACTACAGAACAAAAATAGAAATCAATATCAGAAGGAAATTGAGAAATTCACAAATAGGTAGAAAATAACACACTTCTAAACATCCACTATCACAAGGGATATCTGAAGTACAAAGGATTACATGGAAAATTTTAAGTATGAGTAATTACATAGTTTCTTCTATGGTTTGATTAGGGTGGTGATTATATGATTATAATGATTAGCAAAATTCCACTGTACACATATAATTGGTGAATTGAATTTTATAACATTTAAATAATACCTTAAAATACAAAAGAAAGAAAAAATTAAGGCTTAGAAAAGTAATACCTGTTAGTGTTTTTCCTGAATTCAGAGGAGGAGCAATGACTCTGAAAAGCTTCTGCATTAAAATTAACAAAAAAAACAACATCATTTCAAAGGACAACATTTTTTAAAGATAATCAAGAATCTTATTTTATCAATTTCCTTTCTCTGATGGAATTCGATTAAATATAAAAACTTAATGTGTACATGAACTATTTAGAAATAGCACAATGGAAAATCATTGTGATATTAAACATTTAATACCAGTTACATGAAGGTCTTTGCTGAGATTATAATTTTTGATATAAGACTTAGGTTCTTAAAGAGGCTTTCTTCTTTTAAAAAAAATAAGCAAATGAAGAGATTAATATCTCACCAAAGTGATGATGAAGATTACTTTAAGCTGAAAACATCTAAACACTCCATAGCATAGAAAAAACTATCTTAATTTAAGCCTCCCCAAAATATAGTCTCATGGAACCCCTAGAAGGAGTGTCTTATTTGGGAGAAGACTGACCTTTTCCAAGAAGGTGCAAATTCACTTCTATTAGCACCAAAAAGCCTAGAACTTTCCATACCTTCCCATTGAAGTCCCAACTCCACTGTCTCCCCCATTTTTGTTAAGCTGGTATACAAAACTTCACCTTTGGCTACTCAGCAGAGCTACTTATTAGTGAGTGCTACCATGGATAAGCCTTGTCTTTTCTCCTGTAAATATGTATATTGTCAGATAAATTCACATCCTCCTCGACACCCCCTTTGTTGCCTCCCATCATTGAGACCTAAGTTGATAGAGGCAACATTTGTCCTCTTAACACAAGGCACTACTTTTCCTTCAGAAGCAGCCAAAACTGAACAAAGGAAAGACTTCAGAGGCTACCGTAGTCACTTCAAACGGATGACAATGTCTTTCATTTAGAAAGTCTAAAAAATTTCAAAAGATAGGATATCTTCCCTTAATGCAGACCTCCCCAAGTGCTAAAAGAGCTAAACTTTAAACACTGAAAAGTGATTTCTTTATAGACAGAGAATTATAAAAGAGGAACCACCTAACTTCCCATGGTTAAAATCTCTAAAATGACTGTTTATAACAAATACCAAGCTCCTGCTGAAAGCCATTAGGCAACCTCAATAGCCTCGTGTTCCGTTTGAGATGTATAGGTATAAATGTAAATCAGACTGTGAGGAATAAAACAATCCACACAAAAGAAAAATTTCAAAAGCAACATAAAAGTCAGCAATCATTTTTGTAAATGTAGAATGTATCAAATTTGGATCTGCTTTGAGGGATTACTTTGAGATACACTAGAAACTGAATTAATTCTTCCCAACTGGGGACTAGTGTTGGCACAGAGAACATTTCTGTACATAGGATAGCACTGGACCTCACTGAGGAGGTAACTAAGTCTTTCTCAGGGCCTTTCTCAGTAATGAACCTTGATGATTTAGCAGCTGAGAGGTATTAAGAGAAAGAATCCTTTCTTGACATATACACAATCAGGGTCAAAACCTGGAGAGTAGGGATGAAGCACTCAAGAGATGAGAGGTACAACTAAATTTGAAGAGTTATGAATTAAAGGAATAAACACACTACTAAGCTAGTATGCTCAAAGAAGGCTGAAATTCCATAGAACAACTGCAGACTTAGTAATACTGAGAACAGTTTTTGGATGGTATTAAATTTGCCAAATAAAATTGACTAGATGTTTTCAGTGGATTCCTGACTCTGTTGGGGTGCATTAGTCACTATAATAAAGCAGTGGGTTGAGGGTATACCACATATATCTGTAGCGCCATTATCCAATCTGTCCTTAATGTAAGGCAATGACAAGATGGATAAAATAAAAGCATAAATGCTTTTTTAACTCTCTTGGAAAGGAGAATAAAAAATTACCACAAATGTTATAAAATTTCAAATTTGGAAAAACAATACATTAGTAATTAACAAATAATGACATCCTACCATTCTCAGGACCTCCCTCAGCAGAATGTATATGCAAAACAGCAGTAAGCAACAACACATTTATTATTTACAATAATTATATAAAACAAATTTCTTAAACCTCTTAGGAAAGTTGCTACAGTTGAAAAATTCCTTGGAGGAAAAAAGCTTACAGTCTAACAAGTAAGCATTACTTTTAATTTTTTCAACTGTTCCCTGGGATATAAATTTCTATTTACATGGATAGGCAAGAAAACAATGGCAGAAGACATGAAATTAAAGACTTCTGGGCTGAGGTGTAGCTCAGTGGTAGAGCAAATGCTTATCATGCATGAGCCCCTGGGTTCGAGCCTCAGCACCAAAAATTAATTAATTAATAATTTAGTAAAGACTACTTAAAAGACCCAAGCTAAAACAGATGCAAGTCTAATAAATCAAGAGGAAATTTTAAGATAATCAGATGTTCAAAGCAAAATAAGAACAGGGAAAAAATTAGTAGACAATATTAAATTTATGTCTTAAGTTACAAAATATCTTACCTCCATTGGACTAATAAACTCATTCATGCCTCTGTTATAGACATAGATCATAGCATCATATAGACGATTTTCCCAGCACATGAGAACTACCTATAAAAAAGGAAAAGTCACTTGATCTATATAATTTACTAAGTCTCACCAATTAAACCACTTAAAGCTTTAAGAATGGAAAATATCTTGAGTTTTCTTCCTTATTTGTTCTTCTTTCTTCTCTGGTAAAAACTGAAATTGAAGCAACTCAAACACAATGGCTAGGTAACAGATATTGTAGGTTCAATATTATTTTAATAGTACAATAACTACTTTTAAGCGTTGTCCAATGTCTAATTTTATTTCCTCTTTATCCTTTCCATTATTCATTTTGCTTCTTCTCAATAGTTCTACAACTATTTACCAAACATTTATATTTGGGTTCTCTTAGGCACTGGGGATAAAATGACAGACAAATCCAGATCTATTCCCTACCTTTATAGAGCTTACATTTATCCTAGATACCCAATTAAAAAAAAAAGAGGAGTACAAAATAGTATGAGTTTTGACGTAGAGAAGATATTCAAGTATATAAAAAATTAATGACCTACAAATATGAAAAAAACATTATAAAAGAACCTAACTTGATTTGGAGTATTCAAAAAGTCATCCCTGAGCCAGGTGCAGTGGCATGCACTTGTAATCCCAGCAGCTTGGGAGGCTGAGGCAGGAGGATCGAGAGTTCAAAGCCAGTCTCAGCAATTTAGCAAGGCCCTTAGCAACTCAGTGAGACCCTGTCTCTAAATAAAATATTTTAAAAGGGTTGGGGATGTGGCTCAATGGTTAAGCACCCTGGGGTTCAATCTCTGGTACAAAAAAAAAAAAAAAAAGCTGAGAGTACATAAAACATTTAAGCTAGTACCTAAAGGATGCATGCATGGGGACAAAAAGCAGAAAAGGAAATGAGGGATTCTGCAGGCAGAAGACAATCAGGACGAAAGAACTATAGTGAAAAGGAGCTTGAAGTATTTAAGGATGGAGAGAAATCAACTTGGTAAAACACACACAAAAAAGGAACAGTTATGACTTGAACTACAGGGTATTCTATATTCTGTTCCTATGAGAATTATATAATACCATTGAGTGACAAGAGGACTGAAGTAGAAGATCAGAGGTTGGAGAATGATAGAGACTAGCCAGAGGGTTAAATAGAAAAATGGAAGTGAGGTGTCCTGGGAGAGTGTTTCTAGAAAATGAAATGTTCTGGGACTCTTCTCTTCTTTCTCTATCCTCTCTTTAGCCAGTGCCATGCTCATACATCTCTTTACTGATAACTAACGCACTTGTAACCTTCTCTCTGACCCATCCAACCACTTCCTTAATATCTTCACCTGAATGTCTAGCAGCTATTTCAAAATAAAATGGCAAAGCAAGACTCCTCATTTTGTCTCTCAGACTAAGACTTCCTCCAGTCTTCCAATCTTCTTAAAGGAATCACTATCCATCCTATTTCTCAAGCTATTAAACAAAACAAAAACTTGGACATTGCCTTTAAATTCTCTCATTCCTACACTGACATCTAATTCATCAGTAAATCAATTATACCTCCCAAACAGCAAAAATCAGGCTGACTCTCTCCATCTCACTGCTACCATCTCTGGAACCAGGGTGATCTTTCTTAAAAAATCGTAAGCGGGACGCAGTAGTGCATGCCTGTAATCCCAGTGGCTAGGGAGGTAGAGGCAGGAGGATCATGGCAAGAGGATTGCAAGTTTAAAGCCAGGCTCAGCAACTTAGCGAGGCCTTAAGTATCTCAGTAAGACCCTGTCTCTAAATAAAATGCAAAAAAAAAAAAAAAAAAAAAGGCTGAGGATGTGGCTCAGTGGTTAAGTGCCCCCGAGTTCAATCCCTGGGTACCAAAAAAAAATTCTAATGATTTTATTAAGAACCCAGAATAAAATGGGAAAATGTGTACCTTGCCCTGCAGAGTCTACTTCTCTTTTCCATTATGTTCCAGATCTGCTTGCCCTTTTACTGTTACTTGAAAATTCAAGGCAGAATCTTCTTTTTTTTTTTTTTTAAACATTAGCTTCACCTATAATAGTCTTCTATTCAAAGATCTTTGCATTACTGATCCTTCTTGTCATTCAGATTCTAAGACTCTATGTCACCTCCTCAGAAAGATTTTCTATAATTAGCCAATCTAAAGGAGCTTCTCATTCTCTACTATAGCACACTACTTATGCTAATTTACCTCTCATACCATTCTCCGCATTTCAAAATTTAACTCTGACCTTATATACTAGCTATCTAAAAAGTGGCATCATATGGGCTGGGGTTGTGGCTCAGCAGTACAGTGCTCTCCTAGCATGCATGAGGCACTGGGTTTGATCCTCAGCACCACATAAAAATAAAAATAAAGATATTGAGTCTACCTAAAATATATATATATATTTTTAAATGGCATCATTCTCTTAGGTAAAAATATTCTATTGTTTATGTGAAAGGACCCTTAGTTGAACAAACAAATTTGGATCAGTCAAGAAGCATTTATTGAGCAATGTCAACTCTATGCCAAGAGCTCTGGAGAATGTCAAAGAAATATAAGGCATAATCTCCAGTTTGCAAGCATTATATTATCCAGCTTACATACAGTCCTAAGACTTATATAGAGTCCTAACAACTACACTGAAAACTACAAGTTTATAAGACAACTTGCCAGAAGTACTCAATTGGGCTTTTTTTTTTAAATTTTTTATTGTTGGTTGTTCAAAACATTACATAGTTCTTGACATATCATATTTCACACTTTGATTCAAGTGGGTTATGAACTCCCATTTTTACCCCGTATACAGATTGCAGAATCATATCAGTTACACATCCATTGATTTACATATTGCCATACTAGTGTCTGTTGTATTCTGCTGCCTTTCCTAACCTCTACTATCCCCCCTCCCCTCCCCTCTTCTCTCTCTACCCCCTCTACTGTCATTCATTTCTCCCCCTTGTATTTTTTTCCCTTTCCCCTCACTTCCTCTTGTATGTAATTTTGTATAACCCTGAGGGTCTCCTTCCATTTCCATGCAATTTCCCTTCTCTCTCCCTTTCCCTCCCACCTCTCATCCCTGTTTAATGTTAATCTTCTCCTGCTCTTCATCCCTACTCTGTTCCCAGTTACTCTCCTTATATCAAAGAAGACATTTGGCATTTGTTTTTTAGGGATTGGCTAGCTTCACTTAGCATAATCTGCTCTAATGCCATCCATTTCCCTGCAAATTCTATGATTTTGTCATTTTTTAATGCAGAGTAATACTCCATTGTGTATAAATGCCACATTTTTTTTATCCATTCGTCTATTGAAGGGCATCTAGGTTGGTTCCAGTCTCGCTATTGTGAATTGAGCTGCTATGAACATCGATGTAGCAGTGTCCCTGTAGCATGCTCTTTTTAGGTCTTTAGGGAATAGACCAAGAAGGGGAATAGCTGGGTCAAATGGTGGCTCCATTCCCAGCTTTCCAAGAAATCTCCATACTGTTTTCTCAATTGGCTGCACCAATTTGCAGTCCCACCAGCAATGTACAAGTGTACCTTTTTCCCCACATCCTCGCCAGCACTTGTTGCTGTTTGACTTCATAATGGCTGCCAATCTTACTGGAGTGAGATGGTATCTTAGGGTGGTTCTGATTTGCATTTCTCTGACTGCTAGAGATGGTGAGCATTTTTTTCGTGTACTTATTGATTGATTGTATGTCCTCCTCTGAGAAGTGTCTGTTCAGGTCCTTGGCCCATTTGTTGATTGGGTTATTTGTTATCTTATTGTCTAATTTTTTGAGTTTTTTGTATACTCTGGATATTAGGGCTCTATCTGAAGTGTGAGGAGTAAAGATTTGTTCCCAGGATGTAGGCTCCCTATTTACCTCTCTTATCGTTTCTTTTGCTGAGAAAAAACTTTTTAGTTTAAGTAAGTCCCATTTGTTGATTCTAGTTATTAACTTTTGTGCTATGGGTGTCCTATTGAGGAATTTGGAGCCCGACCCCACAGTATGTAGATCGTAGCCAACTTTTTCTTCTATCAGACGGCGTGTCTCTGATTTGATATCAAGCTCCTTGATCCATTTTGAATTAACTTTTGTGCATGGCGAGAGAAAGGGATTCAGTTTCATTTTGTTGCATATGGATTTCCAGTTTTCCCAGCACCATTTGTTGAAGATGCTATCCTTCCTCCATTGCATGCTTTTAGCCCCTTTATCAAATATAAGATAGTTGTAGTTTTGTGGATTGGTTTCTGTGTCCTCTATTCTGTACCATTGGTCCAACCGCCTGTTTTGGTACCAGTACCATGCTGTTTTTGTTACTATTGCTCTGTAGTATAGTTTGAAGTCTGGTATCGCTATACCACCTGATTCACCCTTCCTGCTTAGCATTGTTTTTGCTATTCTGGGTCTTTTATTTTTCCATATGAATTTCATGATTGCTTTCTCTATTTCTACAAGAAATGCCGTTGGGATTTTGATTGGCTTTTAAAGAGGCAGAGAAAGGCCTTACCAGTCAGGTAAATAAAATCAATAAAGGAATAATATTTATTCTGTTAAGTTAATATGCTGTCTACAAACTCACCTGCTGAATATCTAGGCTGGTGATATCCATATGTACAATGAGGGATTCCACATTTTCCATTAATTTTTTATCTTGGAAATGAACAATCAAGTCTTTCATAACCTGGGGTGTGATCCCCACCAATTTATCACTCAAAATATATGGTTCAAGGCACTCCAGAAACACTCCTTTGGCCACTGAATTCTCACTTAATTTGTCATACATCTGGCTAAATAAAAGATCCCTATAACAGAAAGTGAAAAATAATTTTAGAAACATTCCAAATACCCATTAAATTTAGTCTGCTTAGTATATATCATCCCCCCGCATTTCAAAAACTTAATAAAAACAGTAACAATATCTATGTAGTTTTATATTGCAAAAGTCTTTATGTCAATATATATCTATATGTAGATATATACAGATACAGATATTAATCTTCCCAATACTTCTTTTTATAAATAAGAGAAACTGAATAAGTTGTTGAAAGGCACATAGTGAACACAACAATCAGAACTGGAAACCAGACTTCTGGCCTAAATTCTTTGTTCAGTCTACTATGGCACACTGTTTCTTACAGGCAGAAGTAAAGGGTGTAGGTAAGAGAGCAGCCATGATGGAGTAGGGGAAAAAAGGACTACTTATAATTTAACTTTTCTATTATCTAAATATTATAGGTGACCTTCAGAACCAATAAACTTCTTTAGCTCCAAACTTTTCTTCCCAAAGGGATTGGGCAATGATTATTAATGAGAGAAGAAGAAAAATGTTTAATGTTTAAAACACATACCTAGAAACAATTTTATTGCAGAAAAAATTTAATTACTCTCAGTGCCACCAACTTCAACACTATGTGTGACTCATCTCATATTTCTTCTGTAAGCAGTCCATAATTTGAGGTATACTTAGCATAGACATTTTGAATTCTGTTTTCATGACATATGATATGATAAGTATTATTCTAAATAGCTATTTACTCTTCTGGGTTTGTAAAAGTCTCCAATTTTAAATATATTTAAATATATTTCATTTATTTAATTGTTTGTTTAGTGATGGGGGTCTCACTATGTTGCTCAGGCTAGACTCAAACTCCTAGGCTCAAGTGATCCTCCCATCTCAGCCTCCTGAGTAGCTGGGACTATAGGGGTAAGGCACTATACCTGGTTTATTTTTATTTTTTTAAAAGAGAACATAATGTATGTTTATGGGAAACAGTGTGATATTTCAATACTTGTATACAATGTATAATGATCAGATCAAGGTAATTGGCATATCCTTTACCTCCAACATTTATCATTGCTTTGTGTTGGGAACATTCAAAATCCTATCAGCGATTTTGAAATATACAGTTAATTGTTGTTAACCACAGTTGTCCTACTGTGTTCCAAAACATTATAAGTTATTCCTTGTATTCAACTGCATTTCTGTACCCTTTAATCCTCCTTTCTCCATCTCCTGTTACCCCCTATCCTTGCCAGCCTCTGGTAACCATTATCCTACTCTTTATTTCTATGAGCTCAACTTTTTAGCCTCTAGACATGAGAACATGCAGTATGTGTCTTTCTTCGACTTGTATCATTTAACATAATGTCCTCCAGGTTCATCTATGTTGCTATAATTGGCAGGACCTCGCTCTTTTATGTCTGAAGAGTAATTCCACTGTGTATATCTACCGTATTTCCTGTATCCATTCAGAGTTGATGGATCTCTCAGTTGATTCCATATCTTGGCTATTGTAAATTGTTCTGTAATAAACAAGGGAGTACTGGTATTTCTTCAACACTTTGAATGTCTATTCAGTAGTGGCATTGCCGAATCATATGGGAGCTCTACTTCTAGTTTCTTGAGGAATCTCTATACTGTTTTCCATTTTGACTAGACCAATAGTGTATAAGAGTTTCCCTTTCTCAGTAGCTACTTACTCTGTAAAATTACCATTTTGTTTAACAATGCTTCAACATCAGAATTTGCTTAATTATTCCTATAATGTTGGCTATGTCACTATATTTGCTTTTTCAGGTGATGTCACAATAAACATCTACATATATGTCCTTTTCCACTTTGAGGGCACAATTACTTAGTCATTCAACTTTTAGGAATTTAACTTAAGTGAAAAGATATGAGGAGTAGGGGTTGTAGGTGAGTAATAGAGTGCTGGCCTAGCATGTGAGAGGCCCTGGGTTTGATCCCTAGCAAAAGGAAGAAAAAAAAAAAAGAAGAAGAAATAAAGAAAGAAAGGAAAAATTTGAAATGTGTGACTAAATGTGCACTTGAAATATGTGACTAAATTATCTTCAAAAAGTATCACAGTATCAATTAACAGTGCCACCATCAATATATTATCATATGAATTTCATGAGACAACTGGTTTTTCCTCTTAATAATTTAACAAGTACAAATTAAACAACATCATTGTTTTTAAGTTTTTATAAATGGCAAAATTGAACAAGTTCTGTTTTAATTCACAAACTTTATTGTCTTGTATCATTCACTTATTCATTCCATTTTTTAAATATAAAAACTATGCTAATTTTATTTACCTGTTAGGATCATTAATTTTGTTGATATGTATAATATATATATAAATAAATAAATATATATATATATATCTCTCTTGTCAATTGTTCAACTGTTGGAAAATGGTGGATGATTTGTTTATCCACTTGTCTATTCATGACAAGTTCCAATAAAAGATCAAGGAAGCTCTTGACCTTTTAGGGACTGGGGTTGGGGGTTTAGCTTGGTAGCAGAGTGTAGCTTGGCATACTCAAAGCTCCAAGTTCAGTGCCCTGGACATTAAAAGAAAAAAACAAAACAAACAAAAGGAATGGGATGGGGTTTTGCCTCATCTGAAGTCCTAAAAGTAGATAGGTGGCAGACTGTCTGGCTTCAACTATACTAGAATCACATGTCACCTTCCAAGGAATAGCATTCACAATATCCTGGGGGAAAATCTATATCCATTTATTTTTTCTCAAATACACAAATATAACTTTTCCATCATTTTTTCCCTCTGCTTCACATTTATCAGAATATTTTTCATGTTAGTTTCATTTTAATCAATAAGTCATCACACTTTGTGATTACCGATTACTAGCCAGGCAAAAGAAACTGAGATTAATCAAGTTTTACTATAAAAAAATAACAAAATTATGAATTCACAGAAAATGTCATGTTTCACAGACCTTGTACTATATAATGTACTTTTAAAAAACATACTAAGGAAGATAATTATATATTTTAGTTCAATACAAAAAGCCTTGACAAGGAGAATAAAAGATAGCTAAAATTTAAGTAAAAAGAACATAAAAATTGACAGACAAGGTGCTCCTGTGACAAAGAGTAGCATGCAATTTGATAAGATTAATGGCAAGACCACACATTTTGTTTTTAACTAATCAAAAGCTATAAAAAGGCAAGCAAAAAAAGTAAAACTCAGCAACTCCTGCATCTCTACCTCAAAATAAAAAACAACAGAATTCTAAGGCATAGTTTCATCTTTCTGGGAGAATATTTATTAGGGCATCAGGAGAGGGAGGAAAGAGATAAGCACGCACACACACACACACACACACACACACAACAGTTTTCAGCTCTCATGTTTCTTTCTATATTTAGGTATTCTCCAGGGTGCAGACTTTGTTTCCTAGAAGGGCTGGCTGGATTCAACCCTGCTACTTATCATTTCAAGCTGAGCTTCCTATAACAACTATCACAGAAAAATCTACCATGAATAAGAGAGAGCCATCAAAGAGATTTTTCTAATACTCATACTGAAGATATTGTTGAAGTTTATCATTTTTACGTCAAATAGAGAAAAATGGCTAAATTCACTTCATACATTATCAATTGTATAATTTTATTAATATGAACTGCTTTGATTATGAGATAATTACAAATTCCGAGACAGAGAGCCTGGGTATCATCAATCAAAAGTACCTGCCAATTATACTAAATATGTAACCAGAACCAAATAAATTAATTTCCATTAAATATAAGTGAGATTTAATAAATTCAAAGTTGATTTGGTTGTTTTCTTGTGTACTTTTACTGTGTAAAAGCAAAATTCAAGTGAACTTTAAGAAGTTGTGTTCAAAATGTTGTAAAGATTAAAAAAAAAAACCACGAATTAACTTGATGTGGAAACTACTCAATTATATACTTTAAAAGGGTAAATTTTATGGTATGTGAATTATACCTCAACAAAGCTATTATAAAATTAAAGATATGGTACCTTTCTCCCCTATTTTTTAATAATTAAAATTTAAACATGCAGTTATCAAGAAAATGGTCACCAAAACATCTAGTTCCTCAAACATGCTTCATGATTAAGATATTTCTGTTTCTCAAACACTAAGCCTGATGTTGAACAACATGACTGAACAAACATTCTGCATATCAAAAAACCACTGAAGCTTCACTTTGGATTTAACAGAAATACTTTTGGTTCAACTTCCTATATAACTTTAGTCATTTGAATGATGGCTTCTCAACAGCTCTGGAGATTTCCTTAGAGAAATATAGTGGTCAATATCATGTACAGAGAACATTAATCTTTTTTTACTTTATAACTGCTTTATTGATATAATTAACATATAGTAAGTGTCTATTTTTAAACAATGTTCAAAATTATGATTATGTTTCACATTAGCTCTGGAGCTATTTCCAAAATAAAACTGACATTATAGCTACTAGAGAGTTATACAGTATGTATGTTTATAGGCAAAATGACCAATCATTAAGAGTCCTATAAAAAGCCTTGAAACAGTTTGTATTGTTTGTCTCAAACTGAAAAAAAAATTAAAATAAAATTGTAGAACAGAGACTGAATTATGAAAATAAAGTATAAATATACAAAAACAGAATTCCTGTCATTTCTGATTTTAAGTAAATCACAAAAACTCTAAAGCCAATTCTTAGTCCATAATGATGTCCATGATACACTGATTAGTATGCCCTATAAGAGAAAAACAAATGTGGTTCCTGCCATAATATGAAGGACTTTATATTATAAAAGAGATATTAAGTATATATTAAAAAGAAATATATATGATATATACATTGATTCAATTAATATTGCTGGGTATAAGGGTATATGAATTATACTATGAGGTAATAATGGTGATTACAGTGTAATAATGGTGATATTGAGTTAAAATTAATGTCAAAGAGTATATTATAAATATAATTTGGCCCTCATAAGAAATAATATGATTTATGAAAATAAAAACACAAAATTTGATCCCTAGCAAGAAAGTGGGGGGGGGGGGGGAGTGCGCCTGAGTGCAGTGGTACATGTCTGGAATTCCAGCAACTTGGAAGGTTAAGGTACAAGGGTCTCAAGTTCAAGGCCAGCTTAGGCAACTTAGTGACACCCTGTCTCAAAATAAAATTCAGGGCTAGTGATGTAGCTCATTAGTAGAAAGCAACCTGGCATTCAACTTCCAGTACCACAAAGAGAGAGAGAGAGAGAGAGAGAGAGAGAGAGAGAGAGAGAGAGAGAGAGAGAGAGAAGCTGGGCGCCATGGCACACACCTGTAATCCCAGCAGCTCCAGAGGCTGAAGCAGGAGGATCTAGAGTTCAAAGTCAGCCTTAGCCAACAGTGAGGCGCTAAACAACTCAGTGAGACCCTGTCTCTAAATAAAATACAAAATAAGACTGGGGATGTGGCTCAGTGGTTGTGTGCCCCTGCATTCAATCCCCAGTAACCCCCCCCCCTCAAAAAAGACAGAGAATAAAAAGAATGTATTCTATCAGAAGATATTAATATAAAGGCATCTGTGGGCCAAGACTGAGTGTTTGGTGACTCTACAAGTGGAAGAAGTTATTTAAATTGGCTTAGAACTAGAATATGTTTTTTAAGATTGTATTTGCATTATGTACAATCTGAGCATTCCTTAAGGCAATGTTAATGTCACAAATATTTTGCAAACATGGGACTGTAGAAGACTCTAGACATAAGTGTAACAAAATGTCAAAGAAAATGGTATAAAGAGAATATCAGTTTAAGAAGAAAGATACCATAACTGAATGAACTACACATATCTAATAATCTTTTGCTTCAATTAAGCCTAGGGACTTCACCATTTTTAACTTTATTATCTATGCCAACTTTAAGAAAAAATTATAAAATCTCTACCATTAAGAGTGATTACACTGAACTATTTAATTAAACATAAGATTTTAACATCTAATAAAGCTATTAATTATTGCATGTTTGAAAGGGAAAGGAACTAAAAGACAGCCTGGATACAAAAAATCGAGTTATTCCATTCTTTCTCCTAAGCTCATGCCCATATATAGGATCTTAACATTCAGATTTTTTTTAAAAAGCAGTAAGGTAAGAAGAAAACAAGAGCAAGAAAATGAATCTACAACAAAAGAAGGAATGTCTAACCCACTGCTTAGTTTAAAAGCACCAACTTTCTGATATTGATGGCAATGCTGCCCTATCCCTTCTGACTTTACTAGAACCTAAAAAACAGGAGTAGGAAAAGAAACCAGAATGAAAGAAAGACAAAGAACACATATGCTGTGCTGGCAGCTGGAAGTGCTGGAACTTTTCTAAGAAGAAAGTCAGATCTAATACAATCTAATCTTCAGCTTCTGGTAAGAGAATTGAGAGAAGAAAGCCATACTATTTGAACCATGGTTTGGGGGAAAGTGCATGCCCTTGATCAAAGAGTGCATGAAGAGAAAGGAAGGGAAGAACTATAAAAAGGTCTAGGAACAGCTGACAAAGGACTCCTGACATCACTTCCCGAAAAGAGGTCAGGAATATACTCTGACTACTGGTCCCTCCCTGCCAAGATCTCAAAAAACAAATACTAAATTTGCTTTTAGTATAGCCCAGACAAAAACATGCTAAGGAGTCCAGGAAAGTTACAGGAAAGAAAAAAGTTGATAATAAGATAACAGATTCTAATCTGGTGAAAATTCAGACAAGATTTTATCTTTTGTTATATACTGTGATTTAATGCAAAAATTACTGTACTCCCAGTCAGTCAATAGGTTAAATAAAGCTGGAGAATATTTTCAAATCACATATAAAAGCAATGCTTATCTCCAGAACATCTGCTTTTATTTTTCCTTATATTATCCTTTGTTTTACAACTGTTACGGCCATTTTGAGTTTATGTCACTATGAGAGTATTCAAGTGCTCCAAGATAATGATCACAAGTGACCCTGCAAACCATAATTCTCTTGTTAATTCAGCCATCAGGCCAACTGAATAGCTACTTTGTGCCAAATTCCACTCTAGGTGAAAATATTCCACGTTTAGGGTAAGATATGCCTTCTTACTCTAAACAGAATTTAGTCTTTGAGGGATTTCATTTCATCACATTTACAATTATCTCAATTTGAAGATCTGAGTTGACTGCAGTACTCATTAGTATTAAGAACACCTCCTTACCTCCATTTTTTCATCTGAAAAGGAGGATAACATTATCTTTCTTAATTATAAGGATTGAATGAAATAAAATATGTAAACTGATCCACAAACTTTTAAGGCTGTTTTAAAAAATACAAGATAAATAACAAGATAGTGCATGGAAACACTAGGTTAAGAAAAGACAGGGTAGAGTTAATGTACAACGGTGCTTTGTCTTCTAAGAGCAGTGATTAGCTATCTGATTTACTGTCTATCAGCTAAAAGTAAGCTAGCTGTCGAGAAAATGCAAAGGTATTTCAATCCCTAATATCTGAAAGAAACTTTTCCTTTATACTCTTCTAAGGGAGACAACGTATAATATAATGTTCTCAATGACATTCCTATCAAATACACATTTTGCTAATTACATTAACACTATAGCTAAAATATTAGAATCTGAACCCCAAGTAAACAAAGTTATAGCTATCCATGACTTAACAAAGGCCTGACATATCAAATAATTGCCCTCTTGATAAATTTCATTTATACTTTCAACAATTTAGGAATCAGGCTACTAGAATACATATAAATTCATGAGTCAAGTCAATATCATACAGGGTTTTAGAAGTATCTGTATTAGATTCCTGCATTTGTTCTCTATTAGAAGGTGGTACAAACTAGTGGTTGAGACCAAGAATATAGGAGCTCCTGGGTTTGTATCCTACCTTTGTTTGGCACTTCTGGAAACATTTCTACAAAATGAGGATTAATAATGCCTACTTCATTGTTATAAAAATTAAATAAGTTGCTACAAAAATTACATAAATAAATGTCAAGGACTTGAAACAACACTAGACTACTATTATGAGTGTGAAAAACTGAATTAGCATATGTGGATTAATTCAATAGTTACTATTTAAACCAACAAAGCCTAATCAAGAGTTTATTTACACTTGTTTATTTTAAACAAAAAGAACTTAAGAAAACCAACACTGCAGGCGGGTGTAGTTACACATGCCTATAATCTTGGTTACTTAGGGGATAAGGCAGGAGGATCACAAGTTCAAGGTCAGCCTGGGCAACTTAGAAAGACCCCTGTCTCAAAATAAAACTAAAAAGAACTGGAGATGTAGCTTGGTGGTAGTTATTCCTGGGTTCAGTCCCTAGTTTGTTTAAAAAAAAAAAAAAAAAAACACTGCAAAATGAATCTGGCTTTTTATTTATTTATTTATTTTTAGTGCTTTGAAATCTGTGTTTTAATGATGGTTCACAAGAGTGTATGTATAGGGCTAGGGATATAGCTCAATTGGTAGAGTGATTGCCTTGAATGCATAAGACCCTGGATTCAATCCCCAGCACCACAAAAAAAAAAAAAAAAAAAAAGTGTATGAATTAACACAAAAAAAAGAGTGTATATACTGTACATGAATAATATACTTTTTACTTTTAAGATCCCTATGTAGTATTTCTTTTTTTGTTGGTTACATTCTTTGCCTCCATTATCATGATACACAAATTCAGAGATGATACACTCATAAGAATTTGTTTTGGAAAAGTTAATTTCATTAGATGAATGGAAAACTGTTAAAAAATCAAATTTCTGTAAATTCATTTTAAAAATCCCATCTAGTCAAATTTATAAAAGTCATATCAGTGAATTATACATAAACACCATGCTACCTGGGTTCAAAATAATTGAATGTGACAGCCAGTGCATACTTACTTTCGCTGCAGCAGAAGGCAGTAATCAACTATGACAGGTACCATATCCTGTAGAGGAATCATAAAGAAGATCAGCCCCATGCCCCAGTGCACAGCCCATTAGTAAAATAAGAGGTCTGCTTAAGATGCTGTTGGATTATTAGGATAACTCTGGGCCAAGCTTTTGTAAGCAATTTGACACTATGTGTCAAAAGTCTTAAAAATATGGAAACACTTTGACCCAGTAATTCTATTTCTAAAAAATTATTCTAAACACATTTAAGGAAAAAAATTATGCATTATGGTGTTTATTGCAAATCTATAACAGAAGGAGCAAAAGGAAAGGAGGGGGGAGTACAGGGAAAGAGAAAAGAAAGTGATTTAAATTTCATATACAACATGGGATAATAAGTAAAATTTATAATTTAAATATAATATTATATGTTTATATAAAAGTTTATATTAACATCAAAACAGACACTAGTTAAAATATGTGTTTATCTCATAACTTTGTAAAGAAAATTTTCCAAGAAAAAAAAAAAACAGAAGAAAATACATCCAATTGTTGGTCCGGTTGGTGGCTCAGGTGATTAAGGTTGCCCATATTTTATTGCAATCTCCAAACCAGCTATTTTAAGGTTGATTTAACTTCTCAGTTTCATAACATCTTGATTGCTTTAAATCATCATGTATGGACTCATACCAAGTAAATGGCAACCTGTAATTTTGGCCTTTTTCAAAAGTAACAGTTTGAGGGAGAAATAGTAGTTTATTATGACTGGAAACTGTCAAGTAACCAAGCATCAGATTTCAACAGTATTCCTACATTTGCTAATGGCTACAGGGAACTGCTTTCCTTTTAAATATCCTAGAAAACCTAGGTTCTAGGCAGAAAAACAATGCCATCAGATGGAAAAGGCAATGCATGAAAAAAAGAGTATCATATGCTTATACTTGTTGGAGAAAATGGTCAAAACTAAGAAACCCCTCTTATTTGAGAGAGAGAAATCTGAATAAGGACCTGCAATCCTGGAAGGATTCTAGGGGCTTTCCCTAACCCATCCTGCCTCCTTGTCATCAACATTTCTCCTGACTGCATATTACAGGTTTATAATCTTATTCAGATTTTTCAAAAACAGGAGCCAAAAATCACAGATCTGAAAAGGGTTAGAGTTACATCAAATCTGAACACTGAATAAGAATATAGTAGGCTAGATTATGGGGAGGGGTAAGGACTCCCCAAGAATGTTGGGGGAAATCTAATATCCTTTAAAATACACAGCTGAGTCCCCAAGAAAATAAAGACAATAGTCAGGGTCAAAAAAGTGGAAAAGGGACTGAAAAACCAAAGCAATAAGCCTCAAGAAATCACTGAGACGATCCTATAGGCCTTTTGGTCACAGAAGAGCTTGAGTTTGAATACCAGAAAGAAGCTGAGGCCTTAGATCCTGCAAAATAGAGAATTAAAGCAGGGGACCTTCCTAAAACCAGAATCTTTTAAAAAGTTGCAATCTTAGTAAAAGAAAATCATAAGAGGGGGGAAAATCTACCTACTAACAGAGGAAGATGACAAGGAAGTTTGTCTCAGCTGGACTCAGTGGGGGTTAATCTGTATTCTCCAAGATCTGTAATCAAAATCCTGCCCTCAGGTAGATTTGGGATTTGAACTTACACTATTTTCCTTAGTATGTAACAATCAAGCCAAGAAATTAACATAAAAAATGATCCTGACCAAGGATATTCTTATGGGCACTTGAAAGAAGCATATTTAAAAACTCTCCAGAGACAGTCCCAAAGGCAAAAAAAAAAAAAAAAGTGTAACTGATAAGGCACAAATGAAGACACACTCAAAATTAAAAATTTGAAAGTACCTCATGAAATAATGCCATGTCATTATGTCAGCAGAAACTATAAATAGCAGCAACAGACCTCCAAAACTTCAAATAATATTACCAGGTAGAAACTATATTTAAAAGTATATTTAGAATTATTAAAGCCATAAAACAGGGAAAAAAAAAAAAAGTACCTGGCCTGGTACTGAGGCCTATAAGTAGCCTACAGGGTTTAATGGAGAGTGAAACCATCATATTCACACATTTGGACAGCTCACTGTGGTGACTGTATGGTGGGAGGATATGAAAAAACCAAGACTGAAGATAGAAGCCTATTACAGCAGGTAAAGAAACAAACGGGGGACTAAAACAGTGGGTAGTGACAGCAGGCATAAAGAACAGTGGACAGAAGTAAGAAATATTTATAAGTAAAACCGTCGTTGACAGATTGATTGTGGGATGGAAGACATCAGGAGGAGTCTATAACTCCTAGGTTTCAAGATTGAGTGATGGATGGATGAAGATGAGAAAAGAAATAAGGGAGAAGGTATTAGAAGAAATAAGCCAAGTGCAATTTGGGCCATGGTAGATTTGAGAAACATCTTTACCTGGATACTGAATAACAACTGGATACACATGTTGAGTGTCCCTTATCTGAAATGTTTAGAACCACAAGCATTTTGAATTTCAGATTTTTTTTTTTAAATTCTGAAATAGCTGCACATATACAATGAGATATCTTAGGGATGTGACCAAGGTCTAAACCCAAAATTCATTTATGCTTCAATATACCTTATACAGATAGCCTGAAGGTATTTTATACAATATTTTTAGTGTACCTACATTTTGACTACAACATGTCATATGAGGTCAGGTGTGGAATTTACTTGTTGTATTATGTCAGCACTCAAAACTTTTTGGATTTGGATCGTTTCAGATTTTGGATTTTTGGATTAGGAGTGCTCAACCTACAGTAACCTGAAATATCTGGATTAGAATTACAGATTTCTAAGTAATCAAAGAAAACAAGCTAATAAACAAAATTGTTCAGGGACAACAGAGAAAGACAAAAAGCAGCCAACAATGGACTAACTCCTGAGAAAGACCAATATTTATAAGATGGTCAGAAGATGGAAATAAAATCCTACTCAGGAATAGTCACAGAGGAAAATGAGAAGAGCACACAGCAGGCCACCTACAGGATACCAAGAACTTAAGGTAATAAAATAAATAAAAAGAAGAAAAGTGGTCACCACTGTTTAAAACAGCACTGAGAATGAATAAGATCTGAAAAATGTTTATTGTATTCAGCAATTAGGACACCACTGGTATCTTATAGAGTGTTTATCTTCCTGATTTGCTAGTAAGTACAATGGCAGGTGGGATTCAGTCTGCAGAGAATGGGGTGGTGAGTGAAGCATTTGGTGGTGAAGGAAGAGAGAGGAAAAAAAGAGGAAAGAGAAATGGAAGGAGAGTGAAAGAGAGAAGAAGGAGAGGGAGAAGAGGAAACATCAACATATGCACAGCTGGAATCCCTGAATCAGAAAATTACAACAATGGAACCGAACAAGTAACTCAACATATAATTTAAGAAAGTCTTTCTAAAATAAAAAGACTTAAATCTAACATTTAAAGTACATCATGGGCTAGGTGGAAATGGCCTAAAACGATATATTGAGACCCAAAGCAGTAAAATGACTGGATTAAAAAAAAAAAAAAAAAAAACAGTCAAGAAAAAAATTGCCATTTAGGAGAAGGAAAAAGTCAGGCTAGCCTCTGATTTTTCCACAGTGACATTCAATGTCAGAAGATAACAGAACAGTATTTCCAAGATCCTTAATGAAGGCCAAAATATTTTTTCCAACTAAAAGCTGAAGAACAACAATCTAAAAATCCAATTACTTGAAGAACTCTGTTCTAAGCTTTTCTTGAAGAGACTGCTTCAACAACCAAGACATGACAGTAAGAAATGGCTGGGGTTTTTTTGTCTTCAAGTAAAAAAAAAAAAAAAGAAAGAAAAAGAAAAAAGGAAATAATATACTTCCTTAGTCTCTTCTTTAATGTACTTCCCTCAATTGGCCGAAACAGACTGCTTCTCATGTTAGATATGTGTATATGTTTAAGATTTATGAAAGAGGGCAATATGGATATGAGAATAAAAAAACTGAGCTGACAGAAAACCTAAATTTAAGCCTGTCATTGTTTGAGTGACTGAATAGATTATTTCATTGCATTGTGACTATCTTAACATCTCCCAAGTGAAGAGATAATCTATGCCTTCCTTATTTTATAGGGATCATCTGAAAAGAAATGAGAACAGATGCAAATTCCTTTGCTTTTTTGGAGCAATGGCATTAATTCTCTTAATTTATATTCAAAAAGTCATCCAGGTAATAAAAACTTGACTCTTTGAAAATGATTCAAAATTTTAACTGACAGTCACTGTGTATGTGCTTGCACAAGACACAGATAGATCTCCATGAGCTGTCAGAGTTCAGCAGCTAGTATTCCTTATATTAGTATACACATACCCTGAGCAGTGGTACTATTCAGATATGGATATTTCTTTGTATGTGTTTATGTGTGTAATTTTCCTTTTTTCCAGTTACAATGATAAAATAACCTTTAGGAAAGACCTGACTCTCCAGAATCAATATTTGAATCGAGGCTCAGGGAGAGAGCAGGGTGCTGGAAATCAACACTGTTGTCCTTTCCTCAGATAATTTCAGGAGAAGCATCGGTTACACAAAGAGAACTCCTAACACCTCATTCTGTTTGGCTTTCAGTCACTGTTCACTATTGGCCATGACCCCTTAATGCAAAAAATATAAGCCCACAGTGCTATAATAATGACCTTCAATGATTAAGTCTCATGGAAATTTTAAATGAAGCTCCAAGAAGAGGTTGGTATAGATTAACATAGGCTTCATTAAGATCTTTTATCTTCATTAAGATAATATTATTTTAAAAATCCTTTTAGTTTGGTTCACATTATTAAAATGACTCACATATAGTTATACCTCTACCTTGTTCTAGAAATATATATATGCATGGAGCACAATAAAGTAACCTGAAATATTGCTGCCACCATTAACTGACCAGCTTCTGAGTTTGAAAACACTATTAGCAATTCAAATCAATCATTCAAGTATGTTTACCATAATTATCCGAAAATTGATTGTTATATTTTCACTTTTTAAAAATATATTTCATTATCTTCCCAAAACTCATAAACTA